TATTTATTTATTAATTAATTAAACTTTGGCGGGGCGGGGGTGCAGCCCCGCCACCGCGCACTAGGTGTCAGCGCTGCCTTCCCCGCCGCCCCTTTCGGCTCCCCATTTATTTTTTTTAAGCTCCCCCGCTCCTCCCCTCTTTGGAAGGAGGGGTGGATGGTGAGGGGGGGGACCCGCTCTGCCTAGACCACCCCCCCTACCTCCCCTCCGCCCGCCCTTCCCTCCGCGCTCCGCGGCGGCGCGTCCCCGCCCCGGGGCCGGCCGGTGGCGAGGGGCGGAGGTTCCGCGGCGGCGGCGGCGCCGGGCGCGCTGCAGGGGTAAAGCCCGGCCGCCGGCGGGGCCGCCATGCCCGCCAAGTCCAAGTACAACCTGGTGGACGACCGGCACGACCTCCGCATCCCGCTGCACAACGAAGACGCCTTCCAGCACGGCATCTGCTTCGAGGCCAAGGTGGGCAGCGGGCGCGGAGAGGGGGGGACCGGCGGGAGGGAGAGGAGGGGGGGGTCCGCGGGGATCCCTGCCCAGCGCTTGCACCCCCTGGTATTCCATGTTGGCCAGCGCTTGCACCCCCTGCTATTCCCCGTTGTCCAGCTCTCTCTTTTTGGCATAGCCTTGGGGTTTTATTCCACCCCCGGGAGCCCATCCTGTAGGTGTACCTTCTCTCCACCGAACTCAGCTGCAAAGAGTTGGGTGAGGCTTCCCACCCATCCCGTGAAGGTGGTGAAGCTGGAGGGATGATGGGTCAAGCTGGAGCAGAGTCAACCCTGCTCTTTTCCCACCTTGGCTCTGCTTGGGGACGTTGGCCCGGAGGAACTGTGTGCATCTTCGCCCTGGGAAAGGCTTGGGCTTTGCTCCGCGTTTTCCAGCGCTGTGGGAAGTGCTGGAATGCCGGCGTGGTGGTGGGGGAACGGTTGGTTGTTCCTGCAGGATGCCTCGTACCCTGGTTCTCCCCCGGTGGGATGAACCCATGGGGTGAGCAGGCGGGGAGGAACCGCGTATGCCATTGGCGGTGCGGTGCAAGAGGTCAGGGCTGCCTGCCTGGAATAAAAGCTTGCTGTTTCTCCTGGCATGTATAAACCATTCTTGCTGGTGGATTTGGCAGGAAGCGCTATTTGTTTGTTTATTTATTTATTTATTTTAATACGTTGGGATCTCTCAGACTCTTACTCCACTTAGGCTGTGGCTGCCCACAGTCTGAGTGCCTTGCACCCTCTCGGCAGGCTGGGAAAAAGCCAAGCTACCTGTCCGCATTGCCCAGCCCTCAGCAGGCACTGCCAGCTGGGAAGTAGCTGGCCAAAAAATTTGAAAAGGGGAAGCGTATAATCCTGCCCCCTTTGCTCTTTCTGGGGGATGCGATTATCACCTTGATGAGATACTCCTCGGCTTGGAAAAAAACTGGTGTAGAACAGATTTTTGAGTGGCAGGGAGGGAGGCATCTGTCGCACACCATTGTCCTTGGAGCATGGGTGCTGGCACAGGAAGAAGGAAAGATTTGGCATCTTAATCCCTGGGGGACGAGGCTGCAGGTCCTTGGAGGGTGCTGAAGTTATGTTGTTGCCCCTTCTTCTTGCAGCTGGGAGGGTTCCTCTGCAAAGGCCATTGCTTGCCTGATGGCGGGCACCGTGCTGCAGAGAGGAAAACAGCAGAGGAGTTGTTTATGGAGCAAACTTAAACCTGCTTTGCAACTCTTTCCTGGGAAAGACTCTGCAAATTCAGCTTTGCAGCCTGTCCCTCCTGAATTATTGGAGCCAAGTGTTGTTTTACTGCCAGCATCTGCTCACCCCTCACCTGTGGGGAGGCGGCCAAGCATCTCCCCTTCTAAATCCTGGGTGTCTGGGCACAAGTGCTGTGCCTCTTCCACTTCCATGCCAGGTTTGTGTCACCCAGGAGTGGGACAGGGCTTCAGTTGCCCCTCAGTCTGCTCGTGGCTGATCCCTTTTCTGTGCCGCTGGTTGGGCTGCATTAATGGGGTGGTGCATATTAGTCTTTGTTAGCTCCTCTTTCTCCTATTTTGTATCCTGTGGCACGCGTTAATGCCAAGCACAATCCGCACAAAACCCGGCTTCTGAATTTGTGGGTTTCTCCAGCAGCCCCTGATGCCAGATGCAGAATGCAGATGGCTCAGGCAATTACTCCATCCTTTTATTAGATTGCTGGAGATTAATTAAATGCTTACACTCCTTTAGTTCCTTTTATCCCCAAGAATCCCAAGCGCTTAAACCCGCTTTGACTCTCGTTTCGGTCAGACACCCAGCGCGAGTCACAAAAATGAGGAACTCTGATTTAGAGCAGAACTTCGGGGGGGAGGTTAAAGAAGAAAAATGCTCAGCTGGAGCGCCAAGACTCGCGTGCCTGTCTCCTAAAAGCCTCCTGGGATTGCTGATAGCGCGGGCGGTGGGGATCCCAGTGTTACAGCCCTCAGCAGCTGGATCAGCGGTCTCTGCTCTGGCAGCCCGGGATTCCTGACGAGCTTGCTTGGGGCTCACTGCAGGGGGGGAACGCGGGCCTGAGTCGGTATGCGCTGATTTATTGTTTTAATTTTTAATTTTATTTTTACACTCAGACCTACGTTGTCTGCTCCTGCCTTTAAATGGCACACATAGTGGATGTAATGCGTGTTTTTGTTCACCGGTAGCTGCTGGCTTCCATGCTGATGTTCCCCTTGCTTCTCTCCCGGGGGAATCCCAGTGTCCCAGGGTGGGTGGCTGTGGGCAGTCAGGATTCGGGCCCTTTTCAAGCACAAAGTGATGGACTTGCTGTCACACACGATGCAGTCAGGATGCTGGTGTTGCTCGTCCCCACTGAAGCTACTTGCAGCCATATGACCTGGCACGGGGACGCCGAGTCTGAGCGAAGTGTCCTCTAAGGATTACGTTAATCCATTTTCTGGAGATAAATCCAATCGTTGGAAAATCCCACTCCATCTTCTTAGAAAGAGTAATACATTTCACACTTTTGGATTTGTTTTCACTGGCCACCCCTCTTGGCATCAGACCCCTCTGTGTCCCTGAGGTGCCTCGGCCAGGCTGCTGGGAATCGGGGGAGCTGGCTCTGAGGGGAGGCAGGGTGTTCACTGTCTTCTGCGTCTTGTGGTCTGAATTGTTGAATAAAATCAAAAGCCTGACCTCCTGAGTTAGCTGAAGCATTCAGATGAAAGAGCTGGGAGCTGCAGTGTGGCACAGGGGAGCAGGCATAAATTCCCACTTGTGCAATGGTTTCTGGTTAAATAAATGGGTATGTAGAGAGTAAAGGCTCCTTCTGTCCTCCTCCACCCATCAGTTCTCCTCTGGTTTGGGTGAGGAGGAGGAGGGGATGTGAGTTTACTCCTTATCTTCCCAAAGCCTTGGTGCTGCAAAACCCAAGGGCCAGCTTGTGCAACACCAGCAATTCTGTGCATTCAGAAATCGTGACTCAGGCGACTCCAACGCCTCCAGAGAGATCAGCATGTGGGGGGAATTACGTGGGGTGGTGGAGCCTGGCACTGCACCGCCGGACCCCCCATCCCTTCGAGTGCAGGGCTGCTGGGTTTGCATGGGGAAGCTGTTACTGGCCCCCTGTCATTAGAGTCACTCTCAGGTGCTCACTGGGCTGAGCTCTCCTTCTCCCCTGGACATCTTATGGTCTAGAGCAAGGTCCCATCTACCAAATGCCCATTGTTTGGAAACAGCTGTTAATCCTTCAGTCCCGAGGCTCATTAATCCATTGGCAGTGCCCTAATATCCGTGGTTCCCCAATGAAGGGGGGAGGTGGGTGCAAGAACCGTCTCTGCTGCTCCCCCATCTGCAGGTGAGGGGAGAAGGAGCTGTCCAAGCAAACCTTGGTCCTCGGGCAGACCCACCACCTGCAGTCTGGGACTGCCATGGGCTAGGACAAGCCACGTGCTGAGACCTGGCTTTCCTGACATCGGACCTGTGTGCAGATAAATGTGGGATTGGAGGTTTGGGTTTCTTCTGGGCAGCAGGTGGGGGTTTTTGGGTTCAGGTGGTGGTTGGGTTTTGTGGGTTGGGGTTTTTTTTTCCCCCTTCAGGGATCTTGGCAACCAGGCATTTTCTCTCGTTTGTCAGTACTTTTTTTCTGTTTCCGTGCGTGGGAAACTGAAGTTGAACTGAGCATCTGCTGCTGTCTATGTTTGGAGATGGGACACGAAGAAGACTTTAGTCTGATCCAGTATGTCCCTTCCGATGGGCCCCTCCAGCTCCCCTGCCACCACCTTCCTGGGGCTGCCAGCTCTGGCAGTGCCTACTGATTGCTGCAAAGATAATAATTTTAGCAGGAAAGGGGTTATAGCCTCAGGTGAACATTAAGCAGCAAATGCATGTGTGTTTCCACTCTGGTGTATATTTTTATATATGGAGGGGCCATACATAAGAGCGTTCGAGGTGGGTTGAGTTGCAGGCAGCTCTGATTGGGGTCTTCAGTTCCCCTTCTCTGCTTCAGGCTCTCATCCCAGCGAGATTCCCTTTCCTGGAGGGCTGGGAAGCCAGAGACAGGTTGTATGAAGCTCTGCACCTCTTTAGCTCTCTGGGAGAGACTTGGCAGCTCTATTTGGGGGCTGTTTGTACTGGCAGCTCTGGAGTATGGTGTGCTCTGTCAGGGCTGCTCAGCCCAGAGCAAAGCTGCACTGTGATTTTTTAGCCTGGGATTGCTTGCTGGAGGCTATAAATAACCTTCCCGTGTGCCACAAAAGTTCTCGGCTGAAACAGTGGCATATTCCTGCCATACTTGTTAAGTCAGTTCACAGGCTGCTTAGTGAAGCTCTTAGCAGGGGGAAAAAAAAAAATTAAAAAAAGAAAAGGCAACTCTGCCAGGATTTGGCAAAGCTGCGTGTGCCCAGACTGTGGGTACGGGCCAGGCAGTGCGTGGGCTCGGCAGATGCCAGAAGGTCCTGAGGAAGAAGCGATGGGGGTGGGATGCTCTTGGCCCTTCTTTCTGGCTGCTGCAGTGTTCCTGTTGTGCACATCCCGTGCAGGAGCACCCGTGCAGCTGGGTGTAAGTGCAGGAAGCTCAGCCCCTGCATGGGGGGGTGGCTGTGGCTGGGCGGGGGGACGGAAACGGGGGCGAGTGGACGGCCCTGCTTTATTTGGCATGGAAAAACTTCAGCTCTTCTGCTGCACCCCCTCGCCCTGTGTCCTGGCATCTCTGCTGCAGGGTGGCATCCTGCTGCAAAGGTGCCTCCCCTTATTGCACGAGCTCCATTTTGGCTGGTGAGAGGGGAGGGTGGGTGCAGTCCATGTGGCTCTGGTGGGCACTGGGGTCTCGTCTTGGGCCCCCCAGAGCTTGGTGTTTCTGGCACTGGCAGCTCAGAGGTGGCTGCAAATGCTTCTAGGCTCGGCACTAATATCCTTAGGGCATCGGTTTGGCCGGTGCTGCCTGGCATGAGGTGTCCCTGTTTGAATGCCCACTGGCTGGTTGCGTAGCTCTGGATGGGTCTGACACTCTGGGTGCACCCT